GAGAGAGAGAGAGAGAGAGAGAGAGAGAGAGACGTTATGAGCGGGGTCATGGTCCGGCACTACCCCCGCAAGCCGTGCACCCCCCGCGGGCTGGATCCGTCGGACACGTGCCGGTGGTTTGGCGAGCGCCCCCCCCCCCTCTCTCTCTCTTTCTAGTCCTAGCCACGCCTCTACTTGGGAACGCGCGGGTGCGAGCGTTCGATCACTTGGCAGTCCATGTACACAATGGAAAATATTCCAAAAATATTCAAAAATTTTCAAAAGTGTTCCAGATTCCACCCAAAATATTCTAGATTTTCCCAAAGAATTCCAGAATTTTCACTAAAAAGTTTCCAAATATTCCAAAAAATTCTACCGATTCTACCCTCGCATGGTCGGGTGCGAAGTGGAGGTCATGTGAGTTTGCTCAGCATCGTTCTAAAACACGGGTCAAATATACTCTTTCTGAAAGGGGGCGACTAGGAGATAATTGTTTTCACGGTATTTCCGTATTTTGGTGTATTCAAGGGCCGTACGTGTTACCGATCTTGAGCGAACTCACTCGAGTTACTCTATTAAACAAAATGTTACGCCAGGAGAATACGCGGCAGCTCGAAGGGTTGCCTACGCCCTGGCTTGCAGGCGCTTACATATTTGAGAAACGTATCCTTACTTTAACTCCGATATGATACTTAAAACAAAGGAACTGGTCTCAAACATTGAAGCACAGTTCTTGAATTAAGAACATACAGGGTGGTCCACAGACCCCTTCCTTTATTTCGCTTATACTGTACCGGATGCAGGCGTGCAGGCGGGTTGCATACTCGCACGGGGCCATAAGGCGCCGCGGTGAGCGACGGAAGGCAAGCCCGCCCGCACGCCTGCATGCGGTACAGTATAAGCAAAAGAAAGGAAGGGGTCTGTGGACGACCCTGTATTTTTTGGGGGCTACATTCCACTCATTGCAGGCTCGCTTTCCTGCAAATTTTTTCGGTACAACTATTTTTGGTTTGAGCTCTCCTTGAGGGCTGTTCGGGTGAAGAGGCAAAAAGATGACAGCTCTCTGCGTTTAGAGTAAAAGTTTATTTGCGTGATAACACTCAGCACATATGCATCTCGATTAACTCTTTATATGATCAACACATCGATACATTGTTACACATCGATACATTGTTACACATCGATACATTGTTACACATCGATACAATGATACACATCGATACAGTGCATTTGTCAACGCGCAAAACTCAAAAGCAAAGAGAAATTTGATTTCATACTTTGTCTAATCACTCTAAGAACCTATTATTATTATCTTGGGTAAAAAATTGTATACAATTACAATACTTTCCTAGGTACCTTAAATTAGACTTATTCTGAAATGATAACAGTTATCTTTCGATACATACAACTGATCGAGAGCAACTTTTTCACGATGACAGGTCTGTTTCCATTCTCCTTTTTCAGAGCAAACACATTGCATTAATGGCATTAAACTATTGGTCTACATTAATTAAAAACAAAAAAGGGGAATGTCATTTAAAAAACAACAACAAGATACTGCCATTTTCGAAAAGTTATGACTTTACGGAATATCCTGACAAGTTTATGACTAGCAAACGTTCACAATCACAATTCTTTTCAATATATCTCTCACTCCCTCTATTTTTCAATATGCCAGTTGGCTGACTCACGCCGCGCACTTTCGTTGTTTTACTGTGCGTTTGCCTATCCTCGCTGCCCACGGCTAGCCGGAGCCGGCTCCTTACGGCCCCGCGCGAGTAGACAACACACGCCGCGCGGCGTGAGTTGTCCACCTGGTCCAAGGTTTACACCGAAAAAATAAGATCATTTCTCTCAGTTACCTCCACCCACTTTACACCAGGAAACACAATACAAAGTAATATCACAGCTAACGCATAAGTATATCAGACCATTGCCCTCCCCTCTCTTGTCGTTCCATTACAAATAAATGCATGTGAAATTATGATCCCCCCTCCCCTAAACCGTCAACCCCCCGAAACTTAAAAATATACTAGGCCCTTACAGCGGTTTCCTGGGTTTCCTCGCCATCTCTCTCTCTCTCTCTCTCTCTCTCTCTCTCTCTCTCTCTCTCTCTC